TATCGACAAACTGATTGTCTTTTTTGTCAGTCAATCTAACTTGCCTATTTTGGTACTCAAAATCGTCGTTTTCAATCCTCTTAGTTAAAAAAAAATTTCGGAGGCCCCCTCCACCCCCCGTATTTTCGCCCCCACAAGATTGAAATCCTAGCTACGTCCCTGACTCCGAGTATTCCACTATTCATTCACTGAAACATTTCACGTCTCTTCCAATTATAGTACCTCGCTCACATTTAAGCCCCCATTAAAATTATAATTTATTTTGCTTTCCCTTCTTATCAATCACACATTCTCCAATATAATAATATTACATGTAATCTCAAAAAAAATTCTTCTTTTTTATCCACGCATTTTTTTAATAAAAAAATACTATTCAAATCATTAAAATTTCAAATAATGGGTGACTAACGAGGGTAAGTAGAATGCAGAGCTCTCTTTGGAATCTCCATCCAAATAGAAAACTGATTCCTATGGTAAGGCAACCTTCAGTGTAATCATACACAACTGTCATAGTTATTCGCCCCAGATACGAAATGCTAAGAGATAAATTTCACTTCGGCTAATTACCAACATATAAGAGTTTGGTCTACTATCTCAATAAGGCTAACCTTTTTCATATCGAATTCCAAATCTTAATAGCGAATAACTCCTCGGCCGTGGAATTTGAGAGATTGATAGCCTTCTTCTTGTACACCGATTACATCGAAATAAGTCAATGTTAACATCTACATCTCTTAGCGATAGTCACTAGAGATTATTAATATCTCGGTATTAGGAAATATTTTAATTCTAGACGAAATCTACATTTCTAGCAAAATACTATAAATTATAAATTTATAATTCGTTTAATAGATTAATAGTAACACGTGTCAACGTAATTGAAATGTATTTAACGTGTAGTTTTACTTCTCGATATGGTAAAAAGTTGTTACATCGAGTAATATTGTACTTCCAAAGTATTTACAATCGGTAGTACAATAGTTCTAATTTATCCTCGCACAGTTCATAGCTACAAAATTGTACAGATTATGGGGAGATCATCCATGCATCAATAGCTGCTATTGATGGAGTTTGAGAGGTTGCCTGCAGCAGATTCTTGAAAGCCTTTCGATGATTTAGAAAACCCATGAACCAGAACTGGAACTTATCCTCTGTAACTATCTGCACGTACTTTTGCGTTGGTTTTTCTGCATTTTCACTTTCATTGGTTCTCTTTATTTTCGCTAGTGGGATCGTGACCTGCAAGGTNGAACTTATCCTCTGTAATTATCTGCACGTACTTTTGCCTTGGTTTTTCTGCATTTTCGCTTTCATTGGTTCTCTTTATGTTCGCTAGTGGGATCGTGACCTGCAAGGTTTAGAGAACAGTTAGATTTTCATTTTTAAGAGAAGATGGGATATAAATTTATGATTCAAAACAATTGAAATAGTCATATATTTACCTTGTAATGTATTTTAAGCTGTTTTCCAGTTGGAGAAGAGAGTTTAATTGATCTCTCACTGCAGAAGGCAACTTTATCAGTGGAAATAAACAGGAGGCCTGCGATCGGCCCAGCTGTGGTCGATAAATAGCATTGAGAAGCCTTTAAAAGCTTTTCACCATTGCTAACACTGAAGTTCTGCTTGAAAACTTTATCCAGGCCACCTACTTGAAGGATTCTTGCCCCCAGCCTCAACTTCCCTTTCAAAGTTTCTGTTAATTTGGGTCCTAATTTCACTGCAGGGATATAAATAAAGTAAAACATTAGGCCTAAAAGATCATCCCACTGTGCACTGCATGTACGCTTGAAAATTTGTTTCAAGAAAACATTGATGGCATGTTTGATAAGCTAGATTCACCAGGACTATCTATGGTAACTAACAAATCTCGTCCTTAATTTTGTCCAGCTCTGTTTAGTCGAGCATGGCGAACATGATTCATTTCGTCTAATAACAACTTCAATACAAATAAGCCAGGTTAAGACTTTACCATGCTCTCGGATTCCTTGAGCAAAATTGTCCATCCATTCTCCAAATTTATTCGTCCTAAGGATTACTGAATTTGCTCTGCCTGCATTTCCACGAAAATCCAGTGAGGTCGTGATTATTAAAAGTTGGAATTCTTGGTGCGTTGTAAAGACAGAAAATACGCTTACTCTTTCTGATTTTGAAATATTCGTGGGAAGGAGAAGGTGTAACACTGTATTGGGTAGCCGGATCAAGTAAAAGTCCTTTTGGAGGTCTGTCCATAGAATATACTCCTGAGTCGGTTGGAATTCCAATAGCATATTTTGGGTGTAATTTCTTCATAAATATCGATTTTCCGCCTCGTAGTTCCATCTATACCTCCTTTCTTTGGCTGTAAGCAATGAAATGACTACTTCAGGATGTTCAAGGACACTAAAATATAAAAATCAGTCAGATGCAAGAAGCTTTCTGTGATACAACAATGCTTCTTTACCCTTTTATATAGAGGGAAAAAAGTAGTTGGATCTTAACTTTTAGCTGCATGAGTCATTCTGTGTCATCAAAAGATGTGGGGTTTTAGAATCATGATATGTCCCCAGGTAGAGGGGGTGGGGTGGGTAGTCCGAAGTTTTGTCAATTGTATTCAGATGTGCAATCCATGCTTTCTGAGGTGGGATGTTTGCTTTTTGACGTTGCTACACCTCGAATCTTTATTTATGAGGACTTGATCTAAGGGCTCATCTGGATAACCCTTCTTTTGAACTTTCTTTGACTGATGATTGTTGCAGGTGTAAAGGAATTGTTTAGATGGTGGGAAAGAGGATCTTCCCATCATTGCCACATCATGCCAAGCCATGGAATTGTCAATCTGATTATTGAGATTTCATTATTTAGAATGAATTTGATTAATCTTAAAGGACTGCATCTGGTATCTTAGATCCCACCAACCATAAATATATTTTAGTGAAAATTGTAAAAAATGTCCACTTTTACGTAGTTATTTGCAAAAATGTCTAAAATTTCTTCAAAGTCAATTTTACTATAATATAGACCA